ACGTACTGTGCGTTTAGAGATGCTCTTCTGCCCACCTTGGTTGTAACGGGTGGTTATTTGAGTCACTGTTGCCCTTCTATCAGCTCGAACCAGTCTGGCCATTCTCCTCTGACCTCTGGCATCAACAAGGCATTTCCGCCCACAGAACTGCCGCTCACTGGATGTTTTTTTCTTTTTCGGACCATTCTCTGTAAACCCTAGAGATGGTTGTGCGTGAAAATCCCAGTAGATTAGCAGTTTCTGAAATACTCAGACCAGCCCTTCTGGCACCAACAATCATGCCACGTTCAAAGTCACTCAAATCACCTTTCTTCCCCATACTGATGCTCGGTTTGAACTGCAGGAGATTGTCTTGACCATGTCTACATGCCTAAATGCACTGAGTTGCCGCCATGTGATTGGCTGCTTAGAAATTAAGTGTTAACGCGCAGTTGGACAGGTGTACCTAATAAAGTGGCCGGTGAGTGTATATATATATTGGCCGATATATCGGAGTATCGGATTTTAAATCCAAAAAATATTTGTATCGGTATCGGCCTTCAAAATCCTTTATATATATATATATATATATATATATATTTCAATACATTTTGTTTTAATTAATCATGTGAATAAATGCCAGCAGAGAAGTGTAGTAGAGTATGCAGGTTTCCACACTTCATTTGCACATTGATTTGAGTAACTGATAGTGGTTGATTGAAGCATCATTTGAATAGTTACATTCTAGAGCAATAAAATATTTGATTGTGGGAATTTCTAAGTAAACATTCAGCAGGGAAGACTTATACAGAAAAAGGAATATGTGAATAATACAGATATTACTTAGTTGCAAGGCGTCATCTAACAAATGACTAGAATTTAAAAGCAGACCCATTCAAAAGCAGACACATCTGGCTGTGGTATACCTTAAACCAACCTTTTCAGTTTTGAAAAAAATATACTGTTTTACAAATCATCATAAAACTCTAAAATAAAAATGTAAACAGTTATAAAACCAAAATAGAAGTCAACAAATGTGTCTGGGAAATTCTCAAGGATTAAGCACAACAATAGTTTGTTACATCAGACTGCGCTTTCAAGAGTCTGAAGGTCTCTTTTGTAGTCCGCCTGGCTCAGATCCTAATTATCATAAAACTGAATAATGACACACACCCTCATTAGTGAGAGAAATGTAGTGGACCACAGGAAATGAGAACCCAGATTTACGCCCACATCTTTCAATAGCCACATTAAGACACAATCACAAACCACCCTTGTGGCCAACAATGTTTCCGTACAGTAAAGTCTCAGCTGATCTAAATGTACCTTCCGTAACCAAGTTGGCAATCTGTGTGTACTCAATGTGGGAAGACTTAAGGGTGGATGTTTGCTGTATGTTACTGAACACTCAAGGGGTGTGTTTGGGTATTCTAGAGCATATTTAAACATGCACGTCATGTTTGTTTCTGACTTAACTGCATAAGAAGTACGCATTTTGAGTTTCAGTGATCAGAATATACAGATATTATGGCCGCAGCTGCTTCGTTCTCACACGGCGAGGTTTGTAAAGAGCATGTGGCCTTGTTCAGGGAACTGCTGCAGAGATAAGCCGCTGCTCTCTGCAAATCATCATTGTGACATCAATAGGCTGTTTCCAGATCTCTGTAGAGTCTTAGATCCTCATGTTCCCCTGAGACAGCAAGAGCAGGATCCAATTCGGCAGTTACTACAGCAACGCAGCTAACCTTTTCTCAATCCACTCCATCACCTCAGAAGAGTGCAATGCAGCACTCAGACACCTAACCCTCCCCCCCCCAAACACATTTTATGTAAGTGCATTACGAAGCGAGATGAGAACTGCAGTGTAATAGAAAGCAATTTTTCTACTATGTGAAACTGCAAGGTCCCTTTCTTATATCTCTTTTATCCTGTGCTCTATGAGGAGCGGGTTTAAGGAGGCATTTTAAGGTTCAAATTTCAAGTTTGACTTGAGTCTAACAAAGCACTTAACGTGTTCTTCGTTCGGATACGCTATTGTGCACAGACTAAAAGGCTTATTTTCCAGGCTAGCAATTCATTCTACCAAAGCAGGTTTAAAAGGCAGCAATTAACCATTCACAAATGAAAATAAGGGCTCAGGACATAACCCTGTTGTACCTCAAACCTGACACATAAACGTTAAACATTTCCGTGTTTTGATCAAGTTGTATGATTATAGAAGAAGTTCGAATTATCAAACGAAATTAGGAATTGATTAGCAGGGACATTTTCTTCAAGAAAAAGTTCTCTACAGCACAATGATGGCCTGAAAACCCTGTCAATGTGATCAGTAAGTTACTGTTAATTAAAAAAAAAAAAAAAAACTAAAAATCAATTACTAAACTATTAAAAATCATTTTCAGTAATTCAAATAAAGCTGAATTAAAATAAAACAAAACCTAAATATTAGATGAAAAAATAAATGGAATTTACAAAAAATAAGTGTTGCCTTGGCAACTAATTAAAATAAATAACTTTAAGTTACTTAAATTACTAAAATTAACTAAAAATAATGGTAATAATAGAATAAAGGTAAAAATTACAAAAAAAAATTAAACAAAAATACAAATGAAAACTGAAAATATAAAAATAAAGGTTAATTCAAAATATGAAAAAAATACTACACTAGTATATACATAATACTGATAATAAAAGTTACATTTTATAAAATGTAAATATATATAAAACTGATGAGACTTCCAATCTGACTATGTTTGTGAATAGATTACAATTGTAGCTGCTTGTTGATTGTCCCAGGTGTAACTAAATGGTGTTTCATAGGCTTCGTACACTGGAAAACTATGGAAAAGGAACTTGAATTTGCTTTGAACATAAAAAAGCCTATGCAGAATGAGGACTTTGCATTATTACTAGTTTCAGAAGTCCACTACGCCACTGAAATTCATAAAAGTGCTCTTCAAACAAGCAGACCAAGTGGTTGCTTTATTCACCTGCACACAACAGGCCTGATTATCTTCACACGCTCTGGTCACCATCTGTGAAATTACTGCATGGCTTACGGCTCTATCCACAGATCTGTCTTTCTCCATGAAATTTGACATGCTGTTCTGTGTCGATCAGATAATCAACAGCCTGGGGGGGGGGAGTTCACACTGAACATGGCAGCTCTTTTCAGAAGTCACACGCTAGTGATCAACAAACAATCTACAATGGAAAACATGCATAAACACATGCTAATTGCACTATGAGATGAGATAAGAGAGAGAAAGAGAAAAATAAGGATGCAAAATCTCCATTTGTTAGCCTTTGGGTATGTTTTGGCATACTGGAAACCTTTTGAGCAAAATTATAGGTTGGATAAAATTAGTGCATATATAAATATAAAGAATTGTATTAATCTTCTATATTTGATAGTCAGTTGTTGGATAAAACGAAATAAGTCTCAGGGGTGCTCAGCATGCTGATGTGCATCAGTGAGTGTTCGATTGTGAAAGAGTGTTGTACCAATGTCCAGCTGTTTTAATTCCCAAGTCTGAAAAAGAAACTTGATAATCTCTGTTCATGTCCTCTATAATTGCTGCACTCACATCCCACATTCCAGCTCACACAGTCCACAATGAACCTCTTAGACTATTACATTGAACATTCGAGAAATCAATCAGACACCGGCTCGACAAGCATAGAACAAAGGAGCGAAAATATATGGACTTCCTTATAACTTATTTACAGTATAGTGCAAATGGAACAGCAGACGCTGAATAAGAGCGGTTTGGGTGAAAGAATTTACAACATAATTGCATAAGATCTACTTATGATGCATAAGATCAATTTAATAAAGAATGTATTAAAAATTTCAAACATTCTGTTAGAAGAACTAAGATTTTGACATCCTACATCTCCCTCTCTCTGTAATTTCTTATATATATATATATAATATATATATATATATATATATATATTATTATTGTTATTATATATATATATATATATATATATATATATTCTTATATGTGGAGAGTTATCATGGCATCTGTTTGTATATAGTTCAGTGAGCCTTGATTTGTATCTGGTTAACTTAAAATAAAAAATATTGATCACAAAAAAAAAATGTATTATGACAACAGCATTTGATTTTTTTAAACTATGGTGCAGGTTCGCCAATTATTGTAGGATCTAAAAATAAATAAATAAATAAATAAATAAATAAATAAATAAATAAATAAATAAATAAATAAATGCAATATTAAAGTTAACTTCCACCAAAGCTAAAATTGAAATGTTTAAATTAAGCTTAATTTTAAAAATATAGCTGTCTCTCCCACATCACATTTAATTAAGTAAAACTAAAATGTAATGTACAAGTAAAATCTGTACTCAGTAGTACATCAATAATGAATATGTTGGCTTTGGCACTGCAATGTAAACATCATGTTGGAAACATGCAAATAGCCTATAATGCAATATCAACTAATTTCTCGTTTTATTCTCCACTTGTTCAACCGGATTAGTGTTCATACAGACTGAATCCTGTTTATTCTAATTAGAATACTGTATCAACAACTACAGAAGTGTAATAAAGAAGAATAACCCACAAGTCTAAACTAAAGCTATTTACAAGTATTAAAAAAATACTTAAATTCACAATCAGCTTAGGAAAGCAATAATATACATTAAAACATAAAATTAAAATAGCATTTTAACCACTTTAAATAATATTTTCATTGGCCTATCGCATATTATAAAATCCTATTAAATATATTATTAATACTATTATATATACACACACACAATGTAAAAGAATATATTGTTGGTTTAGCTTAAAAAAATAATTAGTAACCTGGTTGCCTTAAAATTTTAAGTTCATTGAAATGGAAAAAATTAGTTTTTAGATCAGTTTTTAGTTTTTGAGATCACTAGAAACTCAAAATATTATGTTATCTGAACTACAAATCATGAAAATATTTTTTACAGTATATATATAATTCAGCAGCTACAACCATAGGCTACAGGCAGACACTTACCCGGCTTACTCGCACAGACGGTGGCAAAGATTACGCAGATCAAGACCCCGGGTAAGAGGAGGGAGGCCCGGGCTCGCCGTGCGCTCCGACTCGGGTAAAACAACATCATTCACCGCTCTTCTCAAGCCCAGGACAGCAGATAAAAGCTCCGGTGTGTCATTCCTTAATCTGTGTGGGTCAGTTGGACGTACACAATTGAGAGAGAGAGAGACACAAACCG